GAGATGAACATTTCTGAACTAATAGAAGGAAAGACTTTCACATAGCCTGGGAATAAAAGATATTTCCAAGGCAAAGAATGCAGCAAGATTCAAGGAGTGGGATTTTTATCAGGCTAGTGAAAAAATGAGTTAACATAGCACTAATGCTTTTGCAGGGCTACAGATCTTTACACTTCACAGTTTAGGCTGATTTTTATCAGGCAGGTATTGAGAAGAGACCTGACAGCTGCCTTCAGTGAGTCCTCCCAGCTCCTTCTCTCTGAGGCTGCTGCCACCACACCAGTCAAACAATTCTCTTGGGGCTAGAACAGATTTAGTCTCACATGGGAATTTTTAAGGTGCAAAAGGGGTATTGGTCACAAAGTTAGAAAAGCTTATATTAAAACCATCCTCCATTTGATTTGTTTATAGTCATCACTGTCACTTGGAACAACTGACAAAGCCTTTCCTAAGAGATCATCTGAGGCAGCCCTTTAAAAGTACAGGCTAAAGCTGCTTGCCCCATTTTTGCTTCCATGTGGATGTTTGCACTTTTGACTTTTGGAACACAAAACCAAATACTATCAGCTCTGCAACCCAGCAGTTCACAGAAAAGGCTATTTTAATTCTCATCCAGTAAGTTCCAGCCACTCTGGGGCACAAATAAGTCTTACCTCCTCAGAAGCCCCTGCCGAGACAGTGCCAACCCCACTTGTCACAGCCCACACCAGCCTTCAAAGTCAGAATCGGACTTTAAAAGCAAAGCTGTCTCAGGTGACAAGCTCTGGGGTAGCATGTTGTCTCTTTGTGCCCCAGCAATTACAGACAGAAAACCTTCCTTAAATGGGCTCCTAAAAACAACTGAATGCCCCCAGAGCTCTTGTCCTGGGTTTTGGCTGCCTATCCGGAAGCGTGGAAGCCCTTCTCTAGCTGAATTGTCATTCTCCATTTTTAATCAAAAAGTACAAGCAGAAGGCAGACTCTTAGCAAATCTGTGCTGCCCTCTACAACTCAGCTGATTCAAAAATTTTACCAACTGGATGCCCCCATTCCAGAAACAACTACAATACTGGCTTTTAAACTAGACTCAGCTTGAATACCTTAGGTCAACAGGCAGTGAGGAAGCCTTTATAGCAGAGAAAACTCTCCCTCTGCTGCTTCCTCCTTTACATTACATCTCTCTCCCTCCTAATGCCATCCAAAACAAAAGGACTTGATATTTCACGAAATTGGAAAATTACAATCAATGTCTTAATTGCACATCTAATTAAACAATCAGCATCACCAAAATGCAAAGGCATCTGCGCACAGACATGTGCTGGAGGTGGAAAAACCTGAAATTATACTCTCAGCTAGAGCTGTAATTGCTTTTCTGATCAAGAAACCTGGGAAGGAAAAGTTGCAGATGCTGTGAAATGTAGACCTCAAGTAGATGTAACAGCCTTCAAACATGAACTAGTTGAAGCAAGCAGAAGGGAAGTAAACTATTCAGCACATCTATTGTAAATACAGATAAAGAAATAACAGGCTTAACTTGCAGCAGTGGAAAGCTAGGTTAGGCATCTAGAAAAGCTTTTAATCATAAGTATAAGTCAGCATGAATTGTCTAAGCAAGCTACAAAATCCATATCCCAGAAGGTTTTAACACGAAGGAGTACATGCATTTTTCAGGGATGCTTTGAGGAAGATAGGTGGTCTAGTTAATCTCTTCACATACTGCCCAGGTCTCAGTTTTATTGCTCCTTACCTGTATCATTCCAGAACCTGTCCCAGGTAGGAAACCATGTAGTAATGCATATACCTGCTAACAGGCACCAACGTGTCTTAACTTTGCGAGTATTCTTGGCATGCTATTAGAGACCCTGGTGCTAGCTGAGTACTATCACCCCTTGCGGTTCACTTCTCTAGTGACAAAAGATGAAGGTGCATTACTCCCCACAAATGATCTGCATGACAACCCAGCTGTCCACAACATGACAGCTTAGTTCAAACACTGTAGAGCATGTTTTTCTACCTGAGCTTGACAGTGAGAACAGGGAAATGGTCTCTGACAAAACTGTTTGTGCATTCTGCAAAAGGTAGGTCCAACATATAAGGATTTGGCTACAGGAATTCAGCGCCTTGATCCTACAGGGTAGCACCCAGTATGAACTTAAAGACGATTCCTTCTCCAGTTGAAGGTAAACCCCTTTCTCAGTGAGCAGAGGGCGTGTCCTCCTGCTCACTGAACAAGAAACTATTTAATATTGTTTCCTTCATGTTATTCGAAGCACAACCACATGCATTATTTATTGTATCGCAGCCAGGCCTTATCATTACATGCAGTGACATCATTGTTACATGCAGTGGGCTAAGGAGTATTCTTTGCACGCATCACCATATTACTCAAGTAATTCAAGCACTGACTGGTGTTTTCATAGCATACTTGTGAAGTGAAAAAGTCCACATTACAAGTGAAGAATGTGGGCAGAGTCAGCTCAAGACCTTGTTTGTTTGGACAGCCATCTCAAGATAAAAAAAGCTTGACTTTTCAGAGTACTTACGTTTGGAGCGTATCAACCACTATGAAGTCTGGCTTCCAGCTACTTCACTTACTGATCGCTCATTTCCAGCATCTTAAGTCAAATAACCAGAAATCAACTAATGGATCACAGGGAGAAGCAACGGAAAAACCCTTTTCAAAAGCCACCATGCTTGTCCAGCATCACGTAACAGCGTGGCAGAGGAGTAACAACTAATAACCATATGGAGCAATGCCCAGCTACCTCTGCTGATGCATTGCTTCCTCTGCCGGCACTTTCTTCCTTGTTTGCTACAGATGCACCAACTTTCAAAATGCAGGGAAAGAATCTTTTTATTACCCTACTTTCGTCTTTATGACTCCTGGCTTAAATAATATGCTTTTCTCTGTAGGTAGGAATAATTTTGTATATTTATATTTCTTGCGGAAGGCAGCAGTCAATTAATGAACAAAAACACCCCATAAACACTTGCTATGAACCACAGATACGCCTCTGTCAGTCCCTGAGGACACTGCTAGTGTAGGCACTGCACAAGAAAAAAGGGGCACTGCCACACCGTAGCTCTGACAAAGCTGACTCCAGCAATCACACCCATATTAGTAAGTTCAGACACAGCTTTCACACCTCCAGTAAAGGCACCTGACAAGCTCTACAAAAGGGCCTGAATTAACTGGGTCTAGAAACCCAGTCAGTCTGGTACCCTGATTGGGAGGGACGGGGAGGAAATTTAACGCAAAAAATGAAAATGACTGGATTTAGAAAGCCTCTGCAAGGAGATGAAAATTGCCCTGTGAACCAGGCTTTGATGAGATAGCTGACCTCAGTCAAGTGACTGAGAGGCCAATTAGACCCGTTTGGCAAGTCTGTGACAGAAGGGACAAGCACAGTTTGACCAAAACACACCCAAATACTGAGCAAGGATGGCGGGGGGTCATTCCAGTAGCTGCTGCCTCTGCTGCGTGCTCTCAGGTCACAGAAGCCACCCCACCTTCACCGAAACTGGAGGGAAGTGGATGCCAAGACAGGATGAAAAAGGGATGATTCTAGCAGCTGTACACAGTTGTATATTAACTAGCTATTACTACTGCAAGCTAAAAATAGAGCGACTTAATTAGGATGACTAACATGTATCCATGTCACAAAATATGAAGGAGAATTGTACTTGCTTTAAATTAAATTCCTTAAATTAGGCATAACAAAATTCAGAGTGAATATACCAACCAATCTATAGATATTTGTGTAGACAAAAATGGATCCTTCAAGTACCCGTTATATGAGATATCACAAAAACAATTGCATGCATTTCAATCTGCTGCACTAACATGCGCTGAATAAAAATAGAAAAATTTAAATAAATCGCAATAAAATTCAGCACTCAGTTTCTCGATAAGTTTCTCAAAAATCTTAAAATGCAAGGTGAATATTGACTCTAACAAAAATAAAAAACAGATGGAAACATGGTTAAAATAAACTGATCTTTTACATAAAACAACTTCTATTTGTATTTCATATATTCTTGTATGTAACAACTTAAAGTATTGACCAAAGTGAGGCTAAATAGATAAATCAGTTCAAGGCTAAATGTAAATTCCCTTCTAACTGGATCGCTCTATCATATCTTTTTAAGTACACAGCACCGATTTTGTCCTGATATTCTCTGTTGCTTTTCAAGCTCTCCTAGAAAATAATTTTCCAGCGTTAGCTTTTAAAAACTTTTAATGAATATAGGTTCAGTTGAAATTTGCTGCCTAAATAAGCAACTGAAATCCCATGGGGAATTTTTAAAATCTCATTTAAGAACAAACCTGTTTACAAACTACACCATATTTTCTGGAACTGTTGCCACTTGAACATTTGTCAGACAACAAAATTATATCTATGGCAGGTTCATTACCAGGCATGAGTCACTAATAACTACCGTTCTTCAAGACACCCCTCACACAGTCTACCATCCTTAATATCTACTGCGCAACTGCACGGAAAAGCCACCATCCAAGAGGGGCTGCAATATGATTTTCACAATTTTACTTCAGTGACAGCATCTAAGTAGCAATACCTCTCCTACGCAGCTCTGTTTGTGCTCCAAAACCCACAGGGTCCTGCAACGCGGCAGAGCTCGGCAGCAAAAGCAGGCAGGTGGGCAGTGCGAACACGGGGAGGCCACGCTACGGAGGCTGTGGTTTCGGGGTCATTTCTCACAGCCTGCTTAGAGGCTTCCTGGATGATGAAGTCCCATTCTTTGCTCCCACAGGCAACTGTCATACAATAGCTTTCACAAACAGACCCATTTTTAGATTAATTAGAAAGTGGAAAGAAACCCATTCGGAAGCTGTTCACTAACAATTAGAAAAATAGCTTTCTGATTTCTAGCCTGGGTGTGTTCATAACCAGCTTACACCCTTTTGTTCTTACGCTAACATTAACCTTTAGCTTAAATAGCTGTAAACTTGCCAATATTTACTCCCCTGCTCTATTAGTACACAGCAGCAACATCCGCTCTCAGCTTCCAGTCTGCTGAGCCAAGCCGTACTTGTTTGGTCTCATCTCACACATCCTCAGCACGTCCCCTCCCAGGACTGCCCCAGTGTCCCGTCTCCCACTTCCATAACCTATTCTCTGATTTTTGCAATAGCCCACATCTTCTCCAAACCATTTGCTGATTTCCTGCATGGCATATTAGAAATATTACGGAAATACAGGCAGATGAGAGCTACTGCCCACCTGGTCTGTCACAGTGTAGCCTCACACCCTAGCGAGGGCAGACTAAATGAGCCTATAGTTACCCAGAACAGCCGTTTCTTCTCTCTTCCTGATCCAATACATGAGTGGCTTAAACAGGATCCTCCTGTTTTTAACAGGATACTCCCATAGGCCAAAGAGTAAGTAGCACAGCTGCTCTCCCGGTACCACATCATTCTGCATGCCTGAAGGCACAAAGCAAGAGACTTGCTGCCTACAGCACCCCAGTAAATTAGCACTCAGACTTATCACAGCCCTTCCAGCACCTGGTACCTGCATGCTTGAGCAACAGATAAAAATCTCAAGCTACATTTGGGATTTCACCCCAGCTTATGCCTAAATTACCTTTAGTTTTATAGCACACAAAGGATGAAGCTGTCAATGCATTCAGGAAATTCTCCCTGCAGAACAGATATCCGATACCTGGATGTTCTCAAGCGCCTTTCAGCAGAGGATGCAAGTTACAAACCCAGCTCACAGGCTGCCAGGAAAGGCTCCAGGCATTTCCTTAGATTCAAAAGCCAAGGAGAGGAAGAACTGGTCCACCTTTACCAAGTAGAGGTTTCAAATGAAACCAAAGGGGAACCACCAAAAAGCTCTTTTTGAAAGTGCCAGTGATTAACCATGACAGCAATGGAAGTGAACACATGGCTTGACCCAGGCTCATCTGATCAGTCCTCCACAGTCACAAAATTGTTCAGACTCTAAATATGAGCAGACAGTAGACAACTTGCTGGTAGCCATGATATGGCTTAAAAATTCTGTTTGGTTGCCAAGGAGTCTGGATGCAAAGAAAATTCTTGTATCACCTGGCAAGAACTACCTCCTAATGCACAGCATTCATTTTCTGTACCACAAGACCTTCAAGTGGCTTGAATTCAATAAATCACTGACATTAAAATGTGCAGAAAACAAAAATGCTACTCTATTTTACATACTACATAGCACCAGCCAGAATTAGGGTCCTGCTGTCTTCAGGCATTATATTAAGCATTATTAAGAGCATTTTGACTTCCAAATGACACTTTTACAATGAGGGGGGAGGGGGCAGGAAGCAATCATCTTTCTTAAATCCAGATGCACAGTACTAGAAGATTCCAGTTACAACAACCCTTACACAACTCCAAAAATTAGCTCAGAAGCATGCAAGGCAACCCTGCCCTACATCTAAACAAGTTGTGTAACCATGCAGCTTGGAAAACAAAAAACAAGGGAAAGAAAAACAACACTAAAAGACAAAACTGTCATGTACCAAACCCTTTTTTCCAACCTACTGCTTTTTTTAACAAAGTTATGATGTTATTCAAAGCGTTTGCTAACATGGCACAAATAGTTAATGCTTTGTTTATGATGCTCTCAGCCAGTGCTGGTTAGCTCATCTTTTCCCCAAGTCTTGTGCTTGGTAAGCCTGCTATCTCTCTGGTGCAGCATTTCTTGTGCAGATTGCTTCAGTAATACACGACACTGGGAAATATCCCCTCCTCCCACACAGAGCCTTAAAAATAAGAGTGTGAAGTCTGGCTCTCCCAACAGCCAATGCTATTTTTAAGGGCTGTGTATGTGGCAGGTAGGAGTCCCCCCACCCACCTCTCCCATTGCACCCCTGTTCTGAGCAGGAGGAACTGACTTACTCCAATGCTAGATGAAGCGTCTCAGATTCTACTGATGCGCACCATGTGCGAGTGCCACGTCCAGGTGGTCAGGACGCCACAGGTTTCTGTGCCCCACTCCACATCAGATGCAAGCCTCTATCAACAGAGCACACTGCTGTAATTCTTTCCACCATTACATCCCCCAAACAAGGTGCAAAGAGGGGAGTTTTGCGTAAGGTGCCAACAGTTGCCTCAGACCCAACATTTTTAGTATTCTTCTACAGCCTTTGGTATATACTATTTAGAGGACTTGGTCCACTCTCCAAACAGATGTGGGTTCCATTTTTCCTGAAAGCTTCAGACAACTGCTGCAAGCAGGTCCTGGGAAAAGACAAGCACTTGCTCAGCAAAGTGTTTGGAAAAATACTTGTACTTGGTACAAATGTGAATGCAAGCTGAGCAGCACTAGACAGGGGAAAACAGCTTACTGTAGTTCATCCTGGTTTAGAGGTGCTCTGTGCACATGGATAGTTCCTTCAGCCTGCAACACACAAATCACTTCTGGGGGTAACAAACACAGAAATTGCTGTGACCAGATTGCCTAAGAGAAACAATGCCAGAGACAAAAAAGCAGCAATTCTGCAAACGTAGTCTAACTGGGAACCTAGGAGCTGTACAAGACATAAGGTCATCTATCCACATTGCCAACCCACTGCTGCTACCCACATCTTGCTCTCTGATCAGCAGAGGTACAGCTTCCATGGAGACGAAGGAAGGTGAGTAAGACATCTTTTCCTTCAGAAAACACCAACTTGTCAGAATCAAAACTTGCTTCACGGGACCATGATGAATTTGAATGGGAATATTTCTCAAGTCTAAAATGTCCAAACAGGGGAGGAAGTGCAGGGAAGAGTCATTCCCTAGAAGAGTGTTACAGCTTAGCAGTCAATGCACTTTTCTAAAACGTAGGAAACCTAGATTAAAATCTCAATATTGCCCAGTTTAGATCAGGAACTAGAGTTCTGATCCCCCCTTACTCTAGATATATTCTAGCTTAAGCTGCTGGCTCTTCCGTAGAGGGGTCTCCCATCTGTCATATCCCAGTCAATCTCAAAAAGTCAAAACCAGAAAGTCTAACCCCCCCAAAAAAACCCCACACTTTGCAAAAGCAGCAATCACTTTCCATCCAGCTTTACTCCAGAAGTCAAACACTTACACATTAAGTATTTCAAGTAAAGAAAAATGTGATATAACAGCAGACTATTCACATGCATCCCAGTACTGCCATTATGATCTTACAATTCAGAGAACAGAAGCATACAGCTCAGCCAAACTGGATTACTTGAACTTAATGTGCAGTGCTGGCACAAAGTAAGAGATGCACCAGATCGTGGAACATCCTGTGTTTGTAAACTATACCCCAGATGTTGCACAAAAACCTTCCCTTTATTTTTAAGGAAATCAATGGAATAAACCTTGCAAGAAAAGTAAATTACACTTGGATTCCCATTCAAAGGCTTCGTAAGAATTTTGACTTACACATGTGCAGAGTTTACAATACAAAGCTAGAGAAGCAAAGCTACAGCCCTGAATACTACTATAAATCAGGAGAAGAAATAACGTCAGGAGTTTTTGTGCTCTCACGGAGGCTACCCATAGTCTCAGAAGCCCACAGGAGGCTCACAGTAGAAAAGTAAAATAACGTTATAGGAAAGTTAGCTATCCACTCTGCAAACTCCTGTTACGACGAAGAAAACTCCCCAAGTTTGTATGGGTTTTTTCTAACCAGCAACAGGAAGGCATGCAGGAACTTCGTTGTCACTGAAGGAGACAGATGTCCTGCGTGCCGGGGAATACAGACCATCAACACCAAAACTGTTTTTTAGCAGAGGTGAATAGAAGTTGAGTGTCAGTACATTGATATGTTCAGAGAAGCTTGCAGAAAATCCTGCTAGCAACTGAACAGACTCCTAGCTGCTGTGGTCATTATGAAAAGCATTTCTGACCAGCATTTCTCTTAATTTTAGCCTAACTACTCTAAAAAGGGCAAGCCTGCTGATTTGTCCCACCAGAGATAAGGTTATCAAAAAGCTACTCAAAAAACACAACAGCAGCTAATGAAGGCACAACGCTATTTTCTTGTGTGTACACACAAATAATAATTATCTCTTTGCTACATTATAACAGTTAAAATTTAATGTAGAGCAGGTTAAAAAATGATACTAGGTCTCAGAGAATTTCAGTAAGGATAAATAAACATGCATTTTATTCCAAACAGATGTGAGTATGCAGATATCTTATTTAAGACACTCGGAGACCAAAGCAGCTTTTCCTTCTCTGAGTACAGTGTGCCAGCCAAACCTTCCCTCACAGAGAGGCAACCAGAAGAGACAACAGACACAGGTTGTTCAAGCACCAGGGAATCACCCCATGCTAAAAGCTGCCTTGGGAAAGCCATGAAGGGCTTTGGGGAGTCCCACAAGACTTGCCATTCTGCAAACTCAGATGCAACACAGGCAAGTAAGATTATGGCATGGAGAGATAGTAGAACACCCCCAGTACTTTTGTATTTAAATGCTTTCTAAATAATTATTGTTGTGCAATCCCTAAGGAATCTGAAAGCCGCATATGCATTTTATAGATAAGGTATGCAGAAAGCATTTGACTGCCGTTGCAAGCACAGCCCCCAGCAACAGTCTGCACTACAGCTGGCAGTGACCCTCGGATTGCGCCTTACCGACAAAGACCTGCTCTCCTCTCTGGTGTACGAACAGCGATTTCATGAGCACAAGGGTGTTCTACAGATCCCCACCAATCCTGATCCCTGGGACATTTGATCAGCAATGCTGGTATTTTGGTGGAGGTTAAAGATAACCTTCATAAATATAACAGGTAGCAAAGAAGGAAGACATTTAACTGGAGATGTAGTTTTTCTGTATGAAGAGAAGTTTCTAGTAACTCTGTGTTAGAGTCATAGTGCTTCAGTTTGCTTCTTTGCCACTGTGTGGGAGGCTTTGAAAATGCGGAGCTTACTCATCTTCACGGGACTGATAAAAAGACACCTTGGCAACAAAGCTTACGGGAAATAAAATGCCCAAAGTAAACTATTGCATGGTCTGCACAGTTCGTGAGAGGTGGAAAGGGACGTTTCTAATCTTCTGATGACTGGCTCAAGGCAGGCATGTCCTCCACTAGCCATCTGGGCTGGTGTGCAGTACATGGTTTTACTGGTCAGAGGGCCTGGATTCACATGTGGGGGCAGGCAGATAACTTACAATCGAACTAGCAACCAAAACTGGCACCTGTTACTGCCTTGCTGGTCTCCTCACTAAC